AAATATCGCTCTCCATGAACTCCCATGTCGTGAACTCCGTGAACTCTATGACCGGCTCCGTTCACAGACCCTGTTCACAGACCTTGTGAACGGTGAACGGGGGTACGACACTGATTCGAACTGCGTTTGCAAATATGTGCTCGTTGGCCAGGAGTTTTCTGAGAAGCTCCGTTGTCAGAGGATGCTTCGGTGCGTGTTCTGCGGGAACGAGTGGCAAGGGAACAGGCATGGGCCGGCGCGGCTTTTTCGTAGCGTGAAGGGATGTTCGCAGGTGACCGATGAAGCTCTTATGGAGATGCATTACACGAGCGGTTACGCATTTGAGGGAAAGTGGTTGGAGCGGATCTGCAAGTACGAGGAGCTTCACGGTCCTTGGGTTGACGAGAGGAGGACTGGCGGGGGTCAGGCTCAGGCGTGGGCGGCGTCCAACGCCCCAGTTGGGGCACGACAACAGGGCGATGACGTCATCGATTTGGATGGCGAGGGAGAGGATTGCAGGGCCGCGGGGGTTGAGGGGGAGGTCGAGGCTGCATACTCACAGCGGCCAGGTAAGTTGCCGGTCGGTGAGGGTTGTTCGAATTTAGGGAAGAGGAAGGGTGTGGTTGGTGCGACAATGCAGCAGGGGAAGAAAATGAGGCAGCCAGCGATAAAAGAGGTATTTGGGTCTGACCGGGCTGCTCAACACAGGAAGTTGTGGTTGCGCTTCATGTACAGCAACCAGCTTCCCTTCAACATCTTTCGAAGACCCACATGAAAGGCATACACTGCACACTTCAGGGACAAACCCGCTTCAGTCCCCGTGGTTTGGCCTTCTGAGAACGAAGTTGCATCGATGGATACAGTGCTTGAGACGGCGATGGACATTGTTGCGGGTCTCAAAAACATACAGGAGCCGTTTGATCGCACTGGGGCCACGATCATGTTCGATGGTAGGAAGTCTCGTGATGGGAAACCCATCGTGAACTTCCTTGCAGCTGGTGCTCGAGGAGTGAAGATGTATAGCACCCTCAACAGCGAGGGTGAGACTGATGATGCGCTCGCAGTGTCGGGGAGGTGGATATCGATTTTCTACGACTTCGGTCCTGACAGGGTTAACACCATTTGCACAGACTCTGCGTCTGCCTACGTAAAGGCAGGCAACGCTTTGGCGGATCCTCACATGCGGCCTGAGTACAAACGGATTATGTGGCTTCCCTACGCGGCGCATGTGTGCAACAAATTGTTGCCGGACATCGGGACAGCGGGCCCGTGGTGCGTAGACATTATTGTGCATGCGAGAGCGGTAGTGCATTTCATAAAAATGCACGGCCGAGCTGATTTTTTGTTCAGGAGAGAGAGTCGCCATCTCAGGTTGTTGTACTCTTGTGAGACTCGCTTCGCTTCTGTGTACGCGATGCTAGAGCATTTGGTTGTTGTACGGCGTCCTTTGGAGCGGATGGTGGATGGGACAGACTGGTTGAGGGAGCCTTGGGCGACTACGTCGATCAGGCAGCATGTGCGGTGGGTGAGGTGGCAGATCCGGCATGGCAGTTGGTGGGACTCCATGGACATCTTGTGTGCCGTTATGGAGCCGGCTTATGATTTGCTGCACAAGATGGATCGTGGAGGGTTATGCATGTCTCGAGTGGCCGAGTGGACGGGACGGTTGGCGAGGGAGCTGGAGGCGGCTCTTGAACCGTTAGAGGATGGATTGGCGGATCAGATTGTCAGGTGCTTGCAGGAGCGCATCGCTCATATGTGTGAGCCTGCGCATGCTGCAGCGTGCCTCCTTTGTCCGATGAGGAGGTCGATGCAGTATTACAGCGGCGTGGTGAAGGACGAGGACAAATGACTTGTGAGCGAGGCAGAGCGGTACATTCTGTCACAGACCGGGTTTGACGAGCGGCGGAAGGACTACCGAGACGTTGTGTTGCAGCTGCGGGACTTTCATACATGCACATCAACTTGCGCATGGGGAGGGGAGCGGGCACACGCCGCAGCGGAGATGTGTGTTGGGGAGCAGGAGACCGTTGAGCGTGGTCTTTGGTGGTCACAGTATGGCGGTTGTGCTCCTGAGCTTCAGTGCATCGCTCTTCGTGTGTTGTACATGTGGACGTGCTCCTTTCCCGCGGAGCGGAAAAAGGCCATCCACGAGAGTATTCACACGAAGAAGCGTAACAGGTTATTGTTCCAGAAGGTCACGAAGTTGGTCGAGATCACGGCCAACACGCGACTTTTGGCTCTTCAGAGCGCTGGTGGAGGTTTGGTTCTTCCGTGGACTCAAGACGAGTCCATGTTGGATTTCGAAGGTGGCCTGGAGGCAGACGCTGTGTGCGAGGGGGTGGACCACAACATACCCGAGGAGGACCGCGATGAGCAGGCGCAGTTGTGGCGGCGGGATGCTTGCGGGTCACGACCACCGCCTCCCGTTGAGGACGTGTTCGGGGTTCGGGCCGTCACTTTGAGGCCGTACCCGAGAGATGACTCGAGTGGAGATGAGCGCGAGGAGGCAGATGAGGGTTTCCGCCCCCACGGCTCTGCTGCTGCCCGACGTGCAGAGGACGACAATAGCGCTTGAAGTGACCCTGAGGAGGTTAGCCGGCGTAGCGGTTGCAGAGATTTATTCGAGGACAAAGCCAGGGGCAAGTTTGGAGTTGAGGGATGCTGGGACGGATCTGGGAGCCCTCTTGCCGAACCGCTTCCTTAGACCTCATCGCCGACCGTACATGGGGCAGAGGGGAACATAGGGGGCATGCGAGGAGCCCATCAGAGACAGGGTCCGACAGGCAGGGGCTCATTAGACAGCAGCATGGATTCAGAGGGACGTGGAGGAGGTGTGAGGCTTCTAGGGCTTCAGAAGGGTCCGAAGGTCGCAAAAAGACAACTCATACCAGGTTCTGAGTCACCGCCCTCATGTAAGGGTGCGCCCGGTGCGGGGACAGGGGGAGCGCATATCGGAGACGTAGGACATGAGCGTCCGGCAGACGTCAACAGAGAGATGGGCACCGCCGCACCGGAGATGTGGCCGACGGTGTTGCTTCTGGGTTGGGTGGGGCATGGTCGCTAGGGGACATTGGGACGCTCAGCGCTCTACCTGGTAGTGGTCACGCGGAGCAGTTCGATGATGCCCATCATGAGGGGGCACCACACGGTGAGGCTGGCGGGTGGGGACCATGCTATGGAATCATCGTCCATGCGCGATTTCATGGCCGAGCTAGAGGCCACTCTGCCATCCATAACGGAGGGTGAGTCTATTGTTGTGCGACATGTCGGCGACGAGGATGTTGGGCCTCAGCCACAGACAGTTCACATGGGAGAGTCTGCACCCGACACCGAGGAGGAGCGCATGGCTCGAGAGGCGAGAGAGGATGAGGAGGAGGCCGCAAGGACCAAGGCCCTAGCTGATGCTGACCCGCGCACACACGCCATGGCACATGACATGGAGGCTATGCGTCATCTAGAGACTAGGGGAGAAGGAGTGCACGACAATGTAGCGGAGGATGACCAGATGGAGGGCTCAGTTGGTAGTGCGCACACGCAGACATTGGAGTTTCGTGGGTTGGTCGTGGAGGCAGCTGCCCACATTTCACATGCGGTTCAAGAGAGAGAGGGCGAGACACCAGCACCCGATATCGACAGCGCACCCATCGTCCCGTTACCACCAGACGGAGAGGCGGATGCCGTTGCAGTGGTCCACGACGGAGAGGCGCGCTGCGAGACAGTGGTTCACTCCACTGTGCCAGAGGCTGATGCTGCTCAGGTGGTGGCCCCCCAGATAGTAGATAGTGCACATACGACTCAGCTGGGAGATCCAGGAGCAGTACCAGGGGGAGACGTGGAGGATGAGGAGGCAGTTGGGAGTCCAACGGCGGTGGGGGGAGATGCAGAGATAGGGGAGACAGGGTTCGGGAGGGACATGGAGATGTGGGTGCGCCCTCGACTATACCTAGTTCACGCGAGGAAGAGGGAGCAGGAGTCATGGCGCCGTCGTCCATTCGGCATGATGCATCGACGGCCACACTTCAACCATCCAGTCAGCGGTCGCGGCGTCGTCCACCGCGTTACGTAGAGCAGCCACGAGGCAGTTTGATGTTCGGCGCGATGACTGTCGATCAGTTGGGCACGTGCCTTGCGACGGATCTCACAGAGACGAGACGTGGCGTGAGGATCGGCTCAAAGAAAGGGAAAGCACTTCTACCACGCATGCAGTCCATTTCATGGGGTCCTGCTAGCCCGACACCGCCATCAGACGCTTCGTTGGAGGTGGGTGCCATGGGAGTTGGCGCGGCGCAGTCCCCTCCCAGTGTGGCACAAGATCGCGGGGCACGACCGTCTGCGCCAACCTCAGCGGCGGGCAGGCCTCGAGAGCGGGGACAAGCGACAGCGGGGGCCATGGCTTCTTTACTCGGCCGCACTGACATTCCTTGGAGCAATACGAGGAGGTCAACATCGAGTACTAGGAAGAGGCAGCCCGGGTTGGAGAGGCAATGCTCGTCCACATCATCGACGAGGGAGGTACATGCTGCTTGGCTCGAGCATCGTGGCGGGTCGGGTGCTGAGGTTGAGGGTGCGGGCGGACGGGGATCTGCAGTGCCCGGCGCACGAGTGTCGACTCACGAATTGAGGGAGGTTTCACAGATCCTCAGGGCAGATGTGTTGGGGCCTCCCAGGACACAGCGACCGATACCTAGACGAGCATCACGCGTGGATGGTGAGACCACCGGGGGCGAGGGGTTGGAGATGATGCGAGGGAGACGTCGCACGGACACCCTCTTAGCGGCGTCACAAAGGGAGATGAGACTGGATGGCGTCACAGTGGTTGACGACGATCAGACTGACGTTGCTGCAGAGGACGCTGACGGAGAGGAGGACCTGTCGATACACGCGGCACGCCGGACGACCTATGAGCTATGAGCGTGGCGAGCGGCATCCCCAACCCCCCCCCCCCCCCAACCCCACGGTCCCCACCCTCCTAAAATACACCTGCCGAACTTTCTTTTTTTTTTTGCGCGGAAATGGCCCCAAGGCGTCCCCTGCCCTCGCGCAACCCCGTGGAGCCCCTGCACTGATTTTTAAACGCGCGCGCGTGCCTTAAAGTGCTTTGAGCGATTTTGAGTGCAGCGCAGGGGCCTTTAAGCGCGCTTATACGGTTTCACAACTCTCTGGTATGGATCTCCTGCATCCTAACCTCGAACTACCTGTGTTGTGTCTCTTACAAACCCTTTATTACGATCCCCTCTCACCCCCTACGCTAACAGGAGCCTAATGACTAATCGCTCTGATGAGCTGCTATGGGTGCTAGGTGGCGAAACGCGCGCTTTAGGGCGTGCACCCCCCCTTCGACTTTTAATTTTGCCGATCCTAACACAATCTAACCTACTAATCTTTTAACAGCTCCCTACCTAATCCACACCTCCCACCCACCTCCCCCATAACATATTGAAGTGGTTCTCTCCTTAAAAAAGGAGACTAGTTACTGTAGAGCTCTATCCTGATGCTAACCTTGCGGACGTCGAATTGGTCTCCTCTCCCATTGCAAATGGGATGGCTGTGTTTATACACACCCATCACACACACACACACACAAACAATCGCGACCGTTTTTTTTTTATTTATTTATTTATTTATTTATTTATTTATTGATTGATTGATTGATTGATTAGTAGTGGAAGGGTCGCCTCCCCCCCGTGAACACACACACACACACACACACAATGCATGCACACAAACAAAAACAAGTGTGACAATGTATATTTCCATGTTCTAGCGGTAGATTCATTCGATTTTGCTTTTTTTTTTTCTCCTTTTTCTACCACAACATTTAATTTATTGCTTAATTAAAAAAAAAAAAAACTCACGTGCCCGTTGAGACCCCTCTTACAATCCCTGGGGGTTAACCCCCCCCCCCCCCCCCCCCCCCCCCCCCCCCCCCACACACACCCCGGGCCCTAGCACGTTCGGACGGAGATCGTCTGTATGCCCGTACGGCCGTCCGTCCATCCGTCCGTACACACAGGTATGCCCGTACGGCCGTCCGTCCGTCCGTCCGTACACACAGGCCGTACGGAGACCTCCCATACGACGTGCGGGGGATGACACTGGACCAAATTGGATCCAGCAATCCCATTGAAACTCCCCGAAGAATTCCCTGACTTCTTCCCCCCTCCATCAAACTGTCTAGTGGAAATGCAGTGGCACGGAATGGATGAATGAACTTCAGAGAGTTTAGACAGGTGGCTATATTTAAGGTTTGCCCCCCACTCACGCCCACACCCGCGACACAGGAAGCTCAGCACTAGTTAGACAGGTGAGATCTGACACCATAATGAATGGTGAAGAGGTGCGGGAGTTGTCTAAAGAGTGGAATTTAGTCCTCGATGGAAGAATAGACAGGGTTGGGTGCAACTGCAGCAGACATCAGCAGCCAAAAAAGGATGAGATCATCTCTTCATATTGTCCGACTTCTTGCTCAGTTACTACCCCGGTATCTAAAGCATTCATTAGGAGGGGGGGGGAGGAACTAGTGTGTAGCAGCAGTGATCTGGCGCCGGTTTCAGGGCGAAGAGGTTGCCCCTCCCTCCAAGTTGCCTGCTCAGTCAATCCCCTGGATCCCAGGGTAATCAATGCTGGCAGGAACCTTATACAATCCTGTTTTGATATTTTCCAAACTCAGTTTGTATATGGGACGCTGGACCCGCTTTCCAGCAGGTGCCGCTCCCCACCAATAGACGGAGCCTCTCCCCAGGTGCTAGTGGTGTCTGCTCTTACCAGCACCACTAACACTGGCGGGGCCGTTTTCTGATTAAAAAAAAAAAAAAAAAAAATATAATAGTCTTGGTATGACTAAACCCTAATGAACAAAGCCAAATAACAGATTGTGAACTAGAGAGGAATCTGGAAAGTTCCAGAAAAGGATTCACCCAATGAGCAGATCAAGTAATTTCCACCGAAGGAAGACAACACCAATACCGGCCCGACAGAGCAGCTAGAGCAGCTAGTAGCCGTGGGGACTTGGGAGCCTGGGTTGCCGAGACGAGGTTTCCCACCTTGCACCCTTGGACCTCTGTAGGAACCACCATCTTCCAGGCACCCTAGATCTCAATGGGTACAACCCAAGTTTGCTCTCTTGACCGCTAAGTGCTATTTAGTCGTGCCCTAGTAGGTCAGCAACGTTCCCACAACTATCAGGTCTCCCACCACCTCCAATAGTTCCGTTGCCTGCTACAAACAACCCCCAACCTTCCACATTTACCAACCAGAACTAAAGCCAAGAGCCCGCGGTCCTTGAAATAGCCTCTAGATTAGGTGAGATTAGGTGAGATTAGGTGAGATTAGGTGAGATGGTTACCAGCAATTTTGGAATTATTATGTTATACCAGGGCTCAGATATGGGAATAGGGATGGAGGGTTGCCTAAATCCAGCCATACGACCCATTGCAGAGTATGAGTAAAATACTGCACTACATGTCGTACACGAGGGTTTGCATATAAGAATGACAAAGGAAGAGTGCACCAAATGAAACATATGCCCGGATCCAGAATACTAATGACTAAATATGATCAAGGTTGCCAGTGACACCAAAACGCATAGCAGGAAGAGCTTGAAAGAGGGGGAAAGTATTTCCAAATATTATCATGTATGACAGTCATGAAGTAAGCCACTCTTAAGCCACCAGTACCTTGCTCAGCTATCGGCCGCGGGCCTTCCCGTATACGCGCCGCAGCCTTAGGGGGGTCGGCCAAGGGAAGGCCCGGTCGTAGCCAGAAAGCCGGGCCCCGCTTCTGTAGGGACGGCACAGTAGAGAAAAAAAAAGAAAAAAAGAAGGGAAAAAAAAATGAAATACACAAACGAAAAAAGAAATACACAGAAGGAAACTCGAGCGCGCGCGCGCGCGCGAGAGAGAGAGAGAGAGAGAGAGAGTCTCAGAGAGAGAGAGAGGCGGCGAGTTGGGCGCGAGCCTCCGTGCATGTCGCCGGCCCTCCCTCTCTCTCTCTCTCTCTCTCTCTCTCTCTCTCTCTCTCTCTCTCTCTCTCTCTCTCTCTCTCTCTGTGCCAAAGTGGGAACTTTCATTCCCGCTTTGCTTTTCTGACGCAAAGCGGGAATGAAACTGTTCGTTTTTCTTATTTCTTTTTTTTTCTTTTTCGTTTTTTTTTTCCCCTTTCGTTTTTTTTTTCCATTTTTTTCGTACCTTTCAGGCGGACGTTCAGGATGCCTGCGCCCGGTAGTCCGAGCCTCGGCACGGATCGGCGTACCTGTCGGCCGAGGCTCGGACTCGATAGCTGGGCCAGGTACTGGTGGTTTAAGGAGTATTTAGCAAAAATATGGCTAGGTTAATGCACTCTAAATATTTCGTGCTAGAGAGTGGCTTGGTTGATGCGCAGCGCCCTTGATTCCAACGGAGACGTTCCCACCACCACCAGAGGAACTCTTACTCCCATTGGTGGCGCCGCCGCCCGTCGAGCTTCAGGTCTTCACGCTCCCAGTTGAGATAGTCATCAGTAGTTCTCACGTGCTCGTCCCAACACCAGTTCCACCACCACCAGCTGCCCACCCACTGCCTGCAGAGGTGCCACTGTTGGATGTGCCCGCTGTCCCGTACTAGACTCTCTCTCCCTTCGTCTTGTTCACACTGCACTCGTTGTTACTTGATTCTTGTAGATTCTGCTGTAGGATGTCTGTTGTAGGAGTTGGAATCGCCCTACTCCCTGGTATTCCACAGGGAGACACAGCCCCTTGTCGGAGCTGAGGGCGATGGCCAAACCTCAGGATCATCGAAGAAGACATCGTTCCGCCCCACACCCCGAATCCCACCCTCGCTGCTGACGCAGAGCGCTGCCGTCTCCGGACAGTGAGTACGCCTGGTAGCGCAGCGCTTCATAGGACTGCGTCCCACTCCACCGCCAAGGTTTTTTTTTTTTTTTTTTCGGAGTGAACAATTTCGCGTAGACCAGGGACCGCATGTGGCAATTTACCGCTAGTCTGGCAAGACATGAGGAACTGTGTTTTTAGGATTTAGACTGTTAATAGTAAGCGGATAGTTTTATTTGCCCTCTCCAGCTGAGTCGCCTTGGCCGTTAGTTGGTGATGACTCCCCCCTTTTGATTGTTGGTATGGTCGGTGGATCTTGGGGTTGCTGGACAGAAGGAGGGGGGCAAGGACGGGATGAGATGTACACGATGTGACTTCTTCCTATTGGGCATCCTGTTCCGCGGGTCTTTTTGGCTGTCTTGGACTTCAGCCATTCTAATGTCTCAGCCTTTTGAATGCTCTGTTTGATATCTCACCCCCTGGGTACCCCATGTTCATTTTTTGTTCTTTTTTTCTTTTTGGGTACCCGATGTTTTATCCGAGAAAAATCAGCGATTTCTGAGGACCAAATTTTCAAAGGTAAGTTGAATAGAACGTACATTTTTTTTTTTCGGGTTAAGACGGTAGGAGGCTGGATTAGACCTTCAAACCTTGTTACGACTCCTACTTCTAAATGATCAGGTTCAATGAACTTGTAACAGCACCCGCAGTGGCATATGAGGGCAGGTGGTGTGTACATAGGGCAGGGACGTAATCACTGAGCGCCAACGACTTGGAGTATTCTCACGACCACAGTCTGAAATACATCTGGCATACATCTGGCCCTAGTTACGGGTCTACTTGGATGTACCTGACAAAAGTTCCGTCCTGAAATAAGTCAATTAGTCCTTTGATGAGTGTGCCCTCAGTATGAGATGAGCATGCTCCAGCAGTGGCATACCTTGGAAAGAAAGGACAAAATAACCATTACGGTATCTGTCCACCTCTGGATGAAGATGTACCCGCCCTAGGGCCTTGCTCCACTGGGCCTCGCTCCACACCACTTACGAATCCTTACATTGTAAGGGCGCCCTAACTGGACCAGGGTGATTAATTTACCCTAGATTTTTTTTCGTTACACAGCCTGTAAGGAAGACCCTACAGGTCAGCTATGGTTGACGTTGGTTAGGATGGCATTGTCTCTGAGACGTAATGTCCTGGTACAGGGAGGGCTAGGAGTTGTTCCAGGATTAGGAGACCAGAATTGCTGATATAGCATAGTCTTTATACTAATCATCATCATCTTTAGCATCATCATCAT